TCAGCAAGTTGACAAACACCATTAAGTTGGTTGTTGTAGAGCGTTTCCTCACGAAGCCGTGCTGATGTTCGGTAATTATTGGCCTAACCGCTTGATATACGACCTCATATACGATCTTCTCCAGAGCTTTTGGGAGGCAGCTTAGAATCGAAATTCCGCGATAATTTTAAAACGTTGTGGATGTTTCCAGTTTTGTGAATAGGTGTGATGGACGCAACCTTCCACATTGTGGGGAAAACACCACTAGCTAGCGAACGATTGAAGATAATCGACACAGGTGAAGCGAGAGATGCGGAAAATTTCATAATGAACGATGGCGGCAAACAGTCTGGACTAGGGCCTTTAGAAGGATCTACAGATGAAAGAACTTTGATCACCTCTTCAACAGATACATCCAACTGCGGCAAATGCAAGTTGTAATGAGCTATGCTGCTCATCCAGTCACGACGAGCATCCGGAGAATGAGCGGGAGGGGTAGTCGAAAAAACATCCTTGAAGAATTTTGCGAAAACATCTGAAGCTTCTTCCACGGAGTCAGCACGAGCTTCTTTATAGGACACATCGAGTGGTATACCGCCATTCCGCCTAATTTGATGATGGTGCTGTACAAAGCAGGCCAATTCAACGGAAACTGTACTTAATAATGTTTTCGTTATTTTTTTTTAATAAAACTTCATTCAAAACCCTTCAATGATGCATTAGCTATTCTTGTACGTCAAACCAATTCTGAGATAAACACGATTGCATGCGTCCAGATTCTACATAATAGGTTAAATTTTCTTCGATTTTCCAGGAAAAACTTCTTGAATATGAGGAAAATTGAGAAATATTTCACTCAGTCTATAAGTATTCTCTTAGACTGAGTATCATTTTCGTAGATTTTTCTTATATTCTAGCAAGTGGGGTAACTTTTACTCATTCACTGAGTAACCCATTGTTTTGCAACTGTGAGACGCATTTGACTGAGTTACTGATTTACTCTCATTGGTTCTGTAAGTGGATCAAGCATTTACTCTTGATTAGGTTACAATTTACCATTTTAAATTAATTATATTTTCTGGTATTCTAGTTGCAAATGTGTTTATTTTAGATTGTCATGGAATGAATTTGTTTTGATTTTTATGAATAGTAACATACTCACATGTAGTCAGTTAGGATACAAATTAAAGTTTTCGATTGCAGCAATATAATTGTTGCTTAAATATCAAATTATTAAATCGCTTGATTCGGGTTCAAGATCATAGTCGGTCGACGTGGTTTGTTATGATGTAAGGGGATCGGTGGCCTCGTGGTATCCGTTTTTGCTTACTGAGTTGTTGTTGTTGTTTCTTTATTAAGGAGACTTTCAGCCAGTGCTGTGCATTATCATAACGGTTATTGTATCTTGACGCTCATCCTCGCATAACCGTCACATCTCAGAAATGACGGTCAACTAGCATATCACTTGGAAACACCTCTACCTCACTAGACCGTCTTCATAAAAGCCATCCATGACAGTTAGATTAAATGACAAGAAGAGAGTAGCAAAATCATTCTCTCACTGATCATCTCTGTTGGGCATTTATAAGTGGGAAGTGAGAATAATGTTCCCTCATTTTCCTGTTCTTGCTAAAAGTTCTGGATCAACAATAGAAATGGGCCCATCAGCATTTGTAAACAAACCGTTCCAAAGCCCTTTACTCACAATTCGAAGGCCACCCACGCAAACCAACACCATCATCGGATAGGGGAAACTTCTACCTACACGATTATGGTGTTGGTTTGTGTGGGTGGCCTTCGATTTGTGAGGAATGGGCTTTGGAACGGTTTGTTTACAAATGCTGATGGGCCCTTTTCTATTGTTGATCCAGAGTTGTTGAGTTCAGAACATACGAAACATTTTGAAGCAAACGTTGGATTTTCATTTTCCTTGTAACAAATAAATATGTGAGTGCTATTCAAGGGGTAGGTCACTCCACACACCAATCTTGGGTCATTTTTTTGTCAGTATGCCGCAAGTGTGCCGCAGGTGTGTCGCAGGTATGTCGATTGTGCCGGTCATAGAGCAAGCTGTGATTTTTGTAAAATACCCGTCCCGGCAGCCCGGTATTTCTGACACCTTGAATGTTTTGGTTTAAAATCGCAAGAATAAATCGGATTGAGGATGACGCGGAAAGTGGTATTTTGTGTCATAGGATAGTAAAAGTCCTGTGTTTGAGGGGTTTAATAATGGCCTCAAAGGCAGACTAGAAGCTTAGCCTTTCGTGACGTGAAAAGCAACGGTCTATCAGCGGCCGGAAAGAGTTGGAACCGGTGGGAATTGATTGTAGGAGACCGACTATAGAGAATAATGAATAGACTTCTGTAATTTGTTTTGTGTGAGTTGCAGCATTATTTGAATTAAGGGTACTAATGGGGTCTGATTGACTACCTCTTTCTCTGCCACTCTAGAACCTACATTTCGTATTTAGATCTACTGGTCTGAGTTCCTCTGGTATATTCAGAGGATGGGATGGAGGATGTTCCTAAATTTACAGTCAAACAGCACGTAATGTTGTGAATAACTTCAATGACAGTTGTCCAGCAGTGCACCCATTTTATTTACAACAATCCAATGCCTACGAAATTTTGTCGAAGGTATGCCGATGGATGTGCCCAAGCTGTGCCGAATCTAATTTCGGCACAATGTGCTGAGTGACTTACCCCTTGGTGCTATTACGTTACAATGTCGAAAAATATATAGTAAATATATAAAATTATCTTCAAAAATTCAGTTTCTTAACATGCAAATTAAAGCCACTTTCACTTTTTTATGATCCATCTGCAATATCAATTCTCTTTTACGTACGCGTCATTGTTTACGATGCTTAATAAATCTAAAAACTGGCACAACTCACAATTGACAAGCTCACGAGAATTTTACTGTCAAAACAAATATCTTTTCAACGTTATTAAGTTTCGTGTGAAAAGTGAAGCGAAGAATCTTAAATTTCTGAATCGCTCCGAAAAATTGCAAGGACCATCATGGAACCAACAGGTGGAACTTCGACGAATCAGTGCGAAACCAAACTTTTTGTCAGTGCAAACCTCAACCTGAGCTGGGTATTAAAAGCAAACGATCAAACTGACGTTTGTCCGAAAACAAGCAGATCCAATATTGATACCCGATCCAGGTTGGAACTGAATAATAAACGAATTCGCTATTAAAATTAGCCAAGATTTATTGAAATACATTGCGTTCCCTTACGGACTTCAAAGTAACGATTTGAAGTTTTCTTTGTTGATGGATACCAATGGTTGCTTTGATCGCTAGCCACAATTCCAATATTTAGAGGGGAATTCCTATTTAAGCAAGGGTTTTTTTTATTGGTTTTGATTTTTAAGGATCCCTTGATACTTGGGCTTCAGTAATGTGGATACGATATGCGGTCAGCATCCTTATTCTTGGAACTCAAGCGCGTCACGGTATCCGAACAAATGAATAGCTGCAAAACCTCTATCCATGAATAAGCATTCGTGACTGCAGGTAGTACGTGTTCATGCAGATATGAATTCTTACAATAATAATTATTGGTTATGATACGATTGTATAACGCAAGATAAGACTTTTCCCTTGATACATCACAGCTATCGCCTCATCCGTGATTTTGGAAGGGGAATGACCGTCATAACCGTATTTATGCTCGAAATTAGGCTTTATATGACTGTTTATATTTCCTCGGTGATATGATGGTAACACATGGCAGATGTTAGTGATATTGCGAATGAGTGAGAAAAGCAAAACAACGATATCTCACGGTTGTTGTGTCATACTGGTGAGAAGTTTTACGGAGAGAGGGTTCTCAGTTGTTTTGATTGTTAACCGTAGAAATCTCTTTTGTCAATCTAAAGGCTGTCAGTACCGTGATGCAACTCAGCACTGCTTTCAGCCTAGAGCTGATTCGTCTCCGACTTGCTAACTGAGCAGATGATCGTGGGTTGCATTTCAGGCCACTTGCAACTTGACTCATCCCTGACTGTAATTTTTCGATACTACACTGAAAGCAAGGTTGCAAATACTCATTTCTGCTAAAATAATGTTTTTCGGAATAATAAAACCAAACGATGGTATGATGACATGTTTTACTTGTAACTTACAAGTAGAGGTTACACAGTACCTATGCGTTTGAAACATAAAACCTGTAAATTTTGCTTTCTATGAGTCACAATCAGCGATTTGCTGATCGCTGAGTGAGTGAGTGAGTGAGTGAGTGTGTGAAAAATCGCTGATTGTGACTCTCATGAAGTGAAATAAACAGGTTTAATATGTGAAACACATTCTTTGCAACCTCTTCTTGTATCTTACCTATTCAAAATATGATCATAGCATCTAATTATTTCATAATAAAAAAAAACATTGTTTTAGCTGAAATGAGTATTTGCAACCTTGACTGAAAGTTTTAGAATTTTCAATAGCTTGAATCAGAGTAGGGTCCATCGAATTCTATACAGTACACCCAACCGGGGGATGTAAGATTCGCTTACAGTTATGTGGGATTCATCATCAGAGGATGTTAGTGGAGACCGCATGAACCGAGGATGCGATATACCTAGCTGCGGTCCAGTGCAAGAAAATTGGAGACCGAAAAATGTAGAGTGTATTAGTGAGTGAAATTAGGAATGTCGAAAAAAAAGGAAACCAATTGCCGACTGGACTCGAACCACGAACGTAGCGATTATCAGACCTGTGCTTTCTCCACTGCTCTCTCTATGCTTCTGAATATGGATAGCCTAAAAGCAAACAAGAAGCGCTCATTTTCTCGCATACTCGACTTCGTATGCTTTTTCTACTGGAGAGATTCAAGACAAGTGTGTGCGTCGTTCTTTGTAATCATTGTAATAAATTTTTGGTTTGCGTGTAGTGAAGTGAATTTGCAATCGCTTTTAAAAACAGTATGCCTACAAATTCAAATTTATATTTCAATATGCGCTGGGATCTACCTCTTTAGGAATATTTCAAAGCAAACCAATAAAACACAACCTTCTTTTTTGTGTTGAAAAATGTATGTACAAAAAATGTATTTACAGTAAAACAGTTCGAACAATCTTCATAAAATTTCATTATTTTCTACTTTAACTTACTACATATACATGAAACGGCATCAGTTAAGGCTTATGTACACAACGTGGGAAGAATGCTTATCGCTGGAAATGTATAAATGACTTAACGTAACTTAAAATGTCCTTCTTTTTGCTGCTTAGTTTAAAATCTGGTTTTTTTAGTTCATCATTTGCTATTCATTGCGCCTAGTTAATTTGAGCAATCTTCATTTGGATTGAGCAACTGGGATAGTTGAACGAAAGTTGACTGAGTCTGATCATAAGATTTTGTTCTGGGTCAAATGGAATCATTAAAAATATAGTAAAAACACAGTCTCTATCACCGGTTCATTTATCGTTAAGTGGACGGAGAAAAATTCGCCCGTAAATGATTAGCATGATGTTGCCTATTTGCTAGAGAAAAAAAAAAACCCTAAGTGATGACAATAAGGTACACGAGTCCCTTGGCTTGGTACGACGACGAAATGAATCTAATCTAAGCGGGTGAGTCCTCCTCGCTCAGCAGACTTTGGTCCTTGGGTTGAGTGGGGATGTGGTGGGGGATGTGAGGCAGGTGGGGAAGATGGAACAGGTTGTGATTGTGATGACTACTGACATTGTTGTTGTTGTGATTATTGCTATTGCCCGTGTGGTGGTAGAGATTGGCATCTTCACTGGCCTTCAGCAGGATGTAACTATCCCGCTGCATCAGTATCCGATGCTGGCCGTTGATGATCATGCTGCTACCCCGTCGAAGTGATCGGCGGCCCATTTCCAGGAATTCTGTCGTCGGATCGGATGTGAACACGAAATTCTTGTAAGCTCGCACGAACACGTAGATCAACGCAAAGGTTCCGGTGAGGATCATCCCGTAGGACACGATCGGTAGAGCCATCGGAGCAAATACCGTGGCTAGGTAGATCCACCGCCGGATCGGGGGCGTTAGCTCGCTGACGCCCTACGGAATAATTTGAAATTTTTATTCGGTTTTTGAAAACGATGCCAACTAACCTCCTCCAGCCACATGATTGGGAAGACGAAGTCTCTGAAATTTTTGGTCGCCATCACATTTGGTGCTTCTTCGACTAGTAGATTGAGCTGGACTCTCACTTGTCCCTCCAGTGGTACTCCGAGTTTCTAAAAGAATAAGCAAGAAAGGTGTGATCACTTCTTATAAAATACCGCTCATCTGGGCAGCACACTTACAGGCTGAATTTTGAAAAACGTTTCGTGAATCTCTCGTTGTGGTTTGAGCCCCTCAACAGCGTTCAGCAGTTGTGGATCCGATTGGTAGAAATGTGGATTGGAAATGTATACGGGAGCCCCTGAAAGTAAATAAATTGGTCTTTTCTTATGGCCAGAGCAAGCAAACGAAAAACACTTTCGGACTTACCGTATTGGCACGGGCTGATATTCTGCAGACCCCTGTATGGTTTGTAGTCCGTGTGCTCGTAGCAAGAATTGTTTCCATTTGGTGGTCCGTAAGCATCCTCCGCTAGTGTGTAGAGATCTGCTGGGATGCCTAAAATTCAAAAACTGAAATATTAGTCCGAGGGAGAAGAGAGTTTTTTTGAAGCCCAATTGATTTGATTTCTAGAGGAAATTTTGCAACCTTTCATTAAAGCCGATGAAACCTTACCATCCTTCTCGACGGGATGCCGATGGACCAGTGGCAGCGATCGGCAGAGATCCTTATCGTAGATGTATACCACGTCCGAGTTGGTGACCTCTCGCGGTGGAAAAAACGAACCCTCCGAGGCCTCGATGCTGGAGCAGGGTTCCTGGTCCCAGTGCGGTAGGTGATTCAACCCGTTCAGCTTGTCAAAGTATCCGAACTTCTCCATCCCCGTGTGACCGGTGTACATGGTGGCATACTCGGGCAGGGTACCGTTTCGCTGGTTTTCCGGCAACGGGCGTTGGGACAACAGAGGACAAAAACGAAAACAGAAAAACAAAAGATTGGGGGGATTGTTTCGTTGTTTGTGATGCGAGGGAGTGACGGTGGTGGTTGAAATGGTATGGATTTTTGATGGCAGAAAAATTGTGGGGGAGTCGAAAAAAATAATAATACATAAATGAAAAATTGAAAACCCGCTGAAATGGAATGAATACGTTAGTGAAAGTGGGTTAACACTAAAGAACTATCTGAGAAAGGGACACAGTAAGGTAGTTGTCAAATGGTTCGTGTGCGTGGAAGCGCAGAAATGCTATTTGATTAATTGAAGTTTTACATTAAATCTATGTTAGGGCGGAGGCAATTGATTATTTTGATTGTTTCAAAGGAAAAACTGATGAGAGTTGGACACTTCAGCAAGATCAGCACATTAGAAGCGATAGCTTTTGTAAAAACTACAAGGGACTGTCCAGTGTTCGGAAAATCATTCTCAAATATCATTCATTGAGCCTCCCTGCGAGAATAAACTCACGTTCGAATGCCGCAAACAAAATTCACGCTTGAGATTATCATGCATATTCACGTACTCACACTCACAACGCCGAAAAATCATTCCAGCTTCAAACTCATAAAAACCACTCAAACGTCAATTGATGTCATGCTTATGCATGTTGTGTTAGTTTTCCAACCCCTGATGCACAAACAATAGTAATAAAAATGCATAACACCAAAAGATGAAGCAATGAATTTTTGAACCTGAAAACTCATAGGGGAATTTACGTATTCTCGGCAGCTTAAGCAGCGACCACCTTTCTATAGCCTTTTTCTCTCAGGAACGCACACATATGCAGCATTGGTTTGTTTACAATCTTTTGCTGTCAGCTTCTCTAACAATTTCAGTCGAAATAATTGTCAAAAACTGTTTTGAAACGATTTTACAAAGCTCCAAACTTTTCTAGTGAGAGCGACTATTGTGGGCAACACCTTTTTATTCGGCAACCTTTCTATTTGAGCTGCGTGTTAAACAGCTGTGCTTTCATTGGCAACTTGAAATCAAACGACTATTGTGGGCAACACCTTTTTATTCGGATACCTTTCTATTTGAGCTGCCTGTTAAACAGCTGTGCTTCATTTCAAGAAAACTCTGCTATAGATTGCTTTTTCTCAGTGGTAAACATATAATCAAATTGAAGCTGAAAACCTAAACAATCGTTTGAATGCATTCAGGGAAGTGTTTATGTGAGAAAATCCAATGAAATTAGCGATTCAATTTGGGTTGCCGAAAATAGTCTGTCATGCCGAAGCCGTCATTTCCCCTAGGTGATTTTTGCGACGTTGAATTTTTCAAGGCAAAACTCATAGGCGCATAAACTCATGCATGAGATTTGAGTTTTTGAGTTTTTCCGAACACTGGACAGCTCAATGGGGTTGTTCGCAATGGTGACGAAGGACTACGTGTTAACTGCAGCATTAGCTTATGTTTTGTGTAGGAATAGGATTTTTTTAGTATGACTATGATTGCCCTGAAAAGAACCGGACAAAGTCTTCGGTTCAATGATTGGGCACTCGCTAGAGTCTCGGCCCGTCTGCTGCTGGACAGGGGTTAGGATTGGGTGATCTTGGACCGTTCTTTGAGGAATCGATCTTTTTCATCTCGATTTTCGATTTTTAGGATCGATTTTTTATATTAAAAAATCGTGAAAATCGATCTTTCTGTGCGATCTTCAAGGAATCAAATGAATGTCATTTTTTTCAGTGTGTATCGAAAAATCGATTTGTGTTCACGCCAAGGAGTGGTCACTCTACATACGTATATTGCGCCAATTTTTTTCTCACTGTGCCTCACGTGTGCCGGTAGTGCCGAGAGTATCAGACTGATTTTTTTTGATTGTATAATGGTATGTTTGACAACCCGGTTAATTTGACAGTTCACATGTTTTGTTTTGAAGAAACAAAACAACAAGCAGTAGAATCCTATCCCAGATCGTAACTGTCGTGACTCTCGGAAGCTTCGAGCGAGAACGTTCTCCGGGGGAGGCATTTTCATTTTTCGATAGGACAATGTCTTCTACTGGATTGGAGTACGATGAGGACTTGGATGAACCACAGGTGCCGGTAGTAAGTAGGCGACTTTCATGAACGCTTCCGGGAGGAGTTTCTCCCGAAAGCCATCGACTCAGTCAAAGATGCGTCGCCAATTCGAGTTTCAATCGGAATTAGACTTCCCTGGTGGACGTGGGGTTTAATATGGAGAGAAGTATGATGTCTCTCGCGAAAAGAAGTGCCGGCCAGTGAACATCTGTAAAGGCTGGGACGATGTAGATGGTAGGAAAGCAAATACCGGTGAAGATTCTACCTCTGAACATGGTCCGAGTGATCATCGAAGGCAAATTCATCGATTTCAGTTACGATGAAGAACGAATCAAGGAAGTTAATGTCGGTTGACTGATCAACGAAGTGGTGAAGCGTTACGGAATCAAACATGGTAAACGACCACTGATAAAACTACAACCGGATTTCTTCTCCGCCAAGCCTATAAATGTTCTATTTCAAGCGCTAGGCTACCAGGGTCTCAGACATGACTCTGGTAACCTAGCTAAACCTATCCTTCAACCAACTCAAGGATGTAGACTTTCAGGAGCTCACCTTCAAGCCCAACAACTGACCAATCAACATCTTACAATTCCACTTATCCTCCTTCGGCTGTGATTTCAGCTCCATCACGAATTCCCCCACCCCAAATTGATCTACCAATGTCTTCAACGTTCCCTTCACTTCCTCCTTCAGGGTCTCGCTCTCCCCACTAACCAACTCACTAATCACATTCCGAATCGGCATTATGACCAGTAACAGTCCCTTCATGGTCATCTCTTCAATCAGCTTCCGGAACGATCCCACTTCGATCAAACTGTTATGAAACACCAAAGCCTTCCACACCAGATCCTTGAACAGTTCGATCGTCTTGATCTCGAAGTCTTCCAGTAGCGACTCCAGCACCATCCGGAAGAGTTTAGTTGTTGGTTACTAGGGTTGCTTTGTAGCTGCGCCTTTACCGACTGAGCTACCTAAGGGAGACCCCAAAAAAGATCGATCCTGCAATGATCGATTATTTGGTACCGATTTAATCGATGGATCGATTCTAGTGCCGTAAATATAATCGATCCGTCGAGATCGATCTTTCCCTGAAGATCGCCCAATCCTAACAGGGGTTGAACTGGTGTCTGTGACATGTTGGAAGGCCGCAGATTATCAGTGTCAACCCAGCTAAAGCTCCTCCTCTTTTTAGTTTAGCAGAAAGACGATTAACACTTTTTTCGGCTAATTTATGATCCTGTTCACGTCATGGTTCTTCTCTATGCCTCTTCCGATAAATTAGTTCTTTTATTTATTTTCTCTACTGCGCTAAATCAAACGAGTAGAAATAAGAAGGGATGTCGGTTACGCGCTCCAATAATTGAAAAGTCGATAAATATTTAATCGAATAGCTGTAAAAATCTTTACGATTAATCGTTAATCGAATAATTGGATTTTTAGGCATCCCTAGAAAATAGTGAAATTTCATGTTTTTTGGTGGTCCTTCGAATTGCAACCAGCAAGTGTAACCCAAGAACCAAAAGCGGTGCGATGCTAAATTAAGGGGCTTAGAAGCAGAGGGGTGAAAGTTGCAGCAGCTTACAAGTTTGGTTACAAGCTTGCAACTCTGGAGAACATTTTGTGTGGTCGTTGGGGGCGTGTGGTTCTGAATATGGCAATGAGTGTGCACAATGATACGCAATTGCATCTTTCTTATTCGCACACGCCCGAAGATCAGCGGCGAATGCCACTTCGACTTGTTTCGTCTACTAACGACTCTCTGATGACAGTGTTGAGGAAGCAGCATACGCATGTACGTAATTGTTAGTTATTTCGACGCTTTTGGACAATGCTTGACATTTACCACTTTTCAATTGTTTCTTGTTGAAAATCAACAGTATAAAGCATTGTTATCGATGCGTAGAATTATTTTTGATCGATTGGTGACAACATTTTTGAAATTGATCCAGGGGCAGCTGAGTTATGAACATTCAAAATCTTTCATAATTTCGTTACACGTTCCATTTTCGGTTTTCATAAAGTGTACACCCCTATAGAAATCACAGACGTAGTTCTGCATCAAAAATAATATAAACTTGAGTTTTTCCACTCCCTAATTTTATTCCCAGACAAATTTTGCAAAAAGTCGTGCAAGTTTAATTCTTTCTTGACCTAAATGGAACTCATTTTGCTTGTTTAAATGTAATTACTCAATTCAACTAGTCTTTCAAATTATTTTTGGTACTCCTAAATGTATTACGTTGCAAACATACTTCAATTAAAAGTAAGGCAGTAAGGCAGGTCTCAGGCATAATTTTCAAAAGGTGATACTGAAGGCTGAAAACATGTGCTTAGATGGACGAATAAATGTTTACGACATTTGTGAAAAAAATCCACTGCCTATTGGTGGGAATCGATCCTACATCTCCCAATACTATCAATCTGATTCCGAAGCGATATTTCATCTAAGCACATGCTCTCAGCCTTCAGTATCGTTTCCTATTCAAGAAGAAGTGATATCGAATCGATAATCATGTACAGTGAAGAACCGATTTTATCACGATCGATTCATTTGAAATCGATCAAATTTAAAATTGTAATAACTATGCAGTTATCTCAATACTCCTAATGAACTAAATCGACGTTATTCTCAAAAATGACGTTTTATTGAGCTTTTTAGTATATTTGTCATTGTAAAAAATCAAAACATTTTAATAATTTTGAAAAATAATTCAGGACGGCTTACAGTATCATGCAAATCAGGACATGTCCTGATGAATCAGGAAGGATCGTACCCCTACCTTCAGCTCACCAGTGCCCAACAAAATAGTTTTCTTGAAAATCTCATCTGATTTTTTTGTGGCTAAGTTGCCCTGAAATAGCTCTGTTCCGGTTGCAGTGTAAAATTCTTAACAAGGAAGTTGTTTA